CGGAAGAGTATCAGCATTACTCGGTTGGTGATAAAAAACTTGCTTTACCTTAAGGCCCCTACACTATGGGAACTACAGTATTCCTTATTGTGGATAATGAGGGTAATGCATGATTTTTATCATATCAACCGTGCTTGAGCCTCCCTCCTCGAGCAACTCTCCTCTCAAAGGTTCTGCACGGATACGGCAAGGGATAAAGGTACTCACAGGTTACGATACATGTGCTTTATAAGAACACTGTAAGGCTACTGGAACGGTACGAGATTGCGGCCAAAACTAAACACAGGTACGAGATTGGGACTAAAACTAAACATAGCCACTATGACACTATGAGACGACTATCAGGCTACTATACGCTTACTACAGCTTACCCTATACCCTAAACCCTTAAACTACAACCCTAACCCTACTCACAAGGAACTTGAATGATGGATTACCGAGCCCGACCTCGATGAGACCCACGTGTCCCGGAGTGACGCGCTTCATGGACATCATGGTGAGAACGCAGAAAGACATCCCTCCTCTGTGGCTTAGGGCTTGCGGTATAGGGTAGGGTTTAGGGTTTGGGATGTTTAGGGTTTAGGGAAGGACATCCCTCCTCTGTGGGGCTCATATCTACCATCCTATAGGTATTCCCAGAAAGCACCCACTATGGAGCCTACGATTAGGTTTCGGGTTTTAGGTGCAGAGTATGTTCCCTCCTACATAGCAAGAGCGAGGCCCGCGAGGGTTTAGGTTTAGGGGTTTGGGGTTTAGTGGTTTAGGGGCTTAGGGGTTTAGAGTTTAGGGGTTTAGGGTTTAGTGGTTTAGGGAAAGTTTAGGGTTTAGGGGTTTAGGGTTTCCCTCTTCCATGGGTTTCTAGGATGCCCAGTAACCTAGGACAAAACAAGGCTTCTTTTTTGTGTTGGGTAACTTTATAAGGAACCTAGGACTACGAAAATTGGAATACGGGTACTACTGGGCATCCTAGGTTTAGGTTTAGGGCGGAGCTCTTGAGAAGGGGGAGGAAGGGCGAGCGACAGCTGCAACCTAGATATGAAGAGAACAACGATTCAGTCTTGCTTTGCATCCACAGCTGCAAATAAAGTGTATGATTAGTCGGAAAACCGCTTAGGGCGCATCCGGGTTTTTCGTTACCTCAGCATATACTGTAATACTATACTTGAATACCTCATTCTTAAGATCAAGGTCCCCTAAATTTGCAACATTGGAAACAATGTCACCCACGAGCCGATAAGTAATGGGGAAACTTCGTCGTTCTGCCCAGTGATGAGTGATGCATCTAAACATAATCCTCGAAACGCAACAAGCTTCCGAAACGCTAAACCCTGCCCTAAGCCCTAAACCCTATACAATTTAGACATCTCGGGATCTATGTACAGTCCCTGCAGTGCAGTTTTTTTATTGAATTTTCACGCGTGATTCTCGGTGTTTAGGATGCAAGGCCCTCAGCCATCAATTCGAAGAACACCTGGCCTAAACCCTTAACCGTTAGTCTGGAACTGCTGTGTTGATCCCGTGTAAGCACGCCCTCAGCCATTGTAAGACAGTTACCGCAACTCCTGTTTGTTTGACCCCCGAAGCCCTTTCTGCCTAAACTCCAAGGGTAAAAGGAAGGACCCTTAATAAGGACCCCTAGATATATACCCGTAATATATACCCATAATATAGCCCATTATAGGGCAGGGGTCCCCATTGCGGGTCCCCTCCTTTTCCCCTTTGAAAAACCTTAAACCCATAAACCCAGACAGCGCCGATCGGCTGGGCCCAAAGCCTCAAACCCTATAAGCCTTTGCGCCCGAAAACTCGGACTTCCCTCAAAAAGAAGCATCCCGGTCCTCCAAAGCGGGCGAGGTTCCTCAGCTGGGATTCGAAACAGCTGGCTTCATGGTACTTGGGGATGGCTTCGGGTTTCGTGGTTTAGGGATTCAGGTTTTGGGTTTAGGGTGTTCTTGCGAGCTGGATGAAAAGCCGCTGTCGAACTGAACAAACCCGGCCCCGGTGTAATTACCAGAGCTCGCTGCTCCATTGACAGCGGGCCTGGAGGCTCATGTGCAACCCGCGGCTTATGGTTTAGGGTTTATGTAGGATTTAGGGTTTAGGGTTCAGGGTTTAGGTACTTTAAAACCCTAAAGCCGAAACCCTGTTGTAGAGGATTAAGAAGGCCTCGTGAATCCCTTAGCTTTGAGGATGGTCTAGACGGCAGGAGCCAACATATCCCTGCGGCTCCTACAGCCTGCTGTTTACAGAAGGACATACCACGTAAGTGGGAGGTCATAACCTACTAGCTTGATGAGTTTTCAGGTAAGGTTCAGAAGGGATATGTCGTTGTTTTCAAGGCCCAGGCTTCAGGCATGCTGTTAACGTTGATTTGAAGAGTATGACTATGTGAGTCCTGGTCAGCTGACCTGATAGGAACCAGGCCGGAGCCAAAAGCACCCTCATCGCTAAACCCGTCCCGAAACCCTCAGCCCAATAGCGAAACCATACACCGTTCCCCGTAAACCCCAAAACCCTCCACTTCTCTCCTAAGCTCCACTCGCTAAGCTCTCTGGCAAGTTTGGGAGTTAAAGTCCTGGCTACCATGTCGGGTTTCAAAAAATTAGGTATAAACGTTCAGCCATGATGATGCTGTGTAAGACATATACACCAAAACCCGCCGAAGGCTGCCTACACTCCTACTGGTGCCATGCCCAATACCAGACCCGAAACCCTAAACCCGACGTCCTAAACCCTAAACCGCCGCGTGAGCATCTTCTGGTTGTTGGTCACCTTCAACCTCAGTCAGTCAAAACGTGTTCATGTGGGGCCTGAGCACAGTAAATCGGGCTTACTCATTTCAACAGTGCCGGGAAGAAAAAAAGATACTGTTATCAAGTAATCAAGCGTCTGTCTTAGCTAGGGATGCGGATGGTGTGGGCGTTTCCATGGTTTCACCGGGCTTCCAGGTGTTTTGGCTGAAGCCGTTGCGGCAAACAAAAAGTGATGAGAATCATGGCTCCCAGGACGCCCCAACCTCAGATGCTGCACTGTCTCTCTCCGTCTGTCGGTCTGTCCGTCTGTCCGTCTGTCCGTCTGTCCGTCTGTCCGTCTGTCCGTCTGTCCGTCCGTCCGTCCGTCCGTCCGTCCGTCCGTCTGTCTGTCTGTCTGTCTCTCTCTCTCTCTCTCTCTCTCTCTCTCTCTCTCTCTCCCTCCCTCCCTCCCTATATATATATATATATATATATATATATGTATGTATGTATGTATGTATGTATATATATACACATATTAATATGTATCTATTCATATGTATATTTCTATGCAAATGTATTGTTACTTACATATCTATATCTTTCTTGTGTGTATGAATTATTATTTCTTATACACACACACACGCAGCTTTTTAGCCCTTAACCCTACGCCCGAAGCCGCAAACACCGAAGCTCGGGAATCTGGGACAAAAGGTACGGGGCTCTAGAGTTCGAAAGTGTCGGGTTTCGAGCCCACTGCCTCCCTCAATGCACTACTTCAAGGATGATGGGACTTAGTAACTGGGGTTATAAACAAGGTAACTATACTTATAAGCACTTATAAACCCACTTAAGGTACTTATAACCCATGATCCTCCAAGTAAAGATGCCTGGGTTCGGGGTTAATATTCAGGCTCCTATAAGGGTGACTGTAAGGGATGCTATAATGGGAACCCGAAGGTACCCTACCAACAGTGTGCAGAATACCAAGGTTTCGCCGAGAAGCCAGGCGACAATGCGCTGATATCGGCTTGCCATGGCGCCGAAGGGAATCTATTGCTTGGCCTATCTATCTTTGCATCGAACGCCGACTTATCCGTGGCGTGGCTTCGAGTTCCGAGTTGAAATACTTTCACCCAATCCGTTAAACCCCAAAACTTCAGTGAGATGGGGGATTGAGTAACACTGCGATGGCAGTCATTTCCAATCTTGATGGCCAATGCTGAAATGCGATGACCCGCTCCGTTGAGGGGGTGGACTTAAGTCCCCTTGTGACTATCTGAATGCCTCAAGTCAGAACTTTGCCGTGCCAAGCTTACTCCAACACTTGCAATGCCCACAGCATGTAGACTCGTAGACCCTGGAAGTGGTGATAGTTCTGTAATGGGAGTCTACGGATCTAGCATGAACAACAGCAAGCTTTAAGATTGATTTTCACGATGCTTGAACCTTGCAGCCTGCAATTTCGAAATATCTATCCCCACACATGTCCAAAGCTACCCGGAAGCTTGGCGCAGCGGCGCGATCCGGTTCCAGCAGTATAGTCTCAGTATAGTTATTTGGGGTCTACCTTGCGTATTCTTCAACCTCAGGTGCAAGAACACGGTGTGGCCAAGAAGTCTCCACTACTTGCATCCTAAACTTTAAACCCAAGCCTCAAGACCTGTGCCCAAAACAGCGTATACAAAGAAAGCAAGTATTGTGCAAACGACCAAAACCCGGCGCTTACCATCGCTTTGCCAAACGAGCTCTCGGCAACTGCAAGCATGATGGGGTAGTAAAAGGGTGGTTGTCAAAATTAGGGTCCCTTTTTGGGTCCTTATGATAGTACGGCACCTGATATGTACGGTGCCCAAAAACGGGACCCTAATTTTGAAAACGACCCAACAAAAATGAGAGCATCTCTGGATTTCAGAGCTCCAGGGCTTGGCGGTGCCGCGTGCGGGTTACTCATGAACCGATAGCTCCACGCAGACCAGGCCCACAATTTTCAACCTCCCGAAGCCTTTACCCCCCAAACCGCGACCCTAAACCAAGACGGAACGACGGAACGTGAGGCAGTGTGCTTTATCCTAGCAGCTCAATCAGGTGTGGATTATCGATCCTAATGCAGAGACTAAAACTATACTTGGGTTCTTAAAGAGAGAAGCAGAGACCCTCCAAAGGACGGCATGTTCCGGCACTTTGAATAGTGAGCGATCCGTAAGACTGGAACCTCAAACTAATTCAGGATCTTAGAGTCTCAAGGCAAGGGCACGGTGGCATGACCGAAGCAGTCGGCTGCGAAGCTGCCTTTGCATCCTGGGCATCGTAGCAGTTTCAAGAGACACGGAGATTTTGCACCAGGAAGCGGTGTTGTAACGTTGCAGGCAGTTTCGCCATTAGGTCTCTGTTTGGGTTCTCCGTAGTAGAACGAACCTCTTGACCCTAATACCGAGAGCAGTCTGTAGTGGGCCCGAGGAGATGGTCTCCTGAACAGTAGCCTCGAATCCCATACTGTTAATGATACAAATCCTGCAGTACCTTAAGGACCCTAAACTATGGGATTTATGGTATCTTCCTTATTATGCGTCATGCAGGAATTATATCATCAACCGTACTTTGGGCATTCAGCAGACAACGGCTGGTGTTTGAGAGTGTGTGTGTGTACTATGAGTCACTACTCAGAAAGTCTAGTCGCGCCCGTTGCAGTTCAAGCTCGCCCGCTTGAAGGAATCAATCTTTTCAATCATGGACCTGTAGGCACTTCAAGCACGGAGGTGGAATTCGAACAGGTATTCCACGCTGTCCTTAAGACTCTTAGACGTATATCCCTGTGTGCATGACGCAGCGCAGCATCGGCAAACCTGCTCTAAGCTCGTCACATGCGCATGGTTGCTTACATCGCGCACACTCGCATGGCAATTGCCTCTTGTCTGAACAGACCCGAGACCCAAGACGACAGCCTTTATCTCTGCTATTTATGCACCCCGTCATATCGGGACACCTGCAAGAACCGTGGCTGCCAAACAGAAGCTTGTGAAACGTTGTCGGTTGAATAAGTCATGAGCGAGGAACGACTTCGGGTAAATCAGCGCTAATTACAATGTTTCGGGTTTGGGGCGTGCTGACCCATCTGCTTACAATGAGCGAATCCTCCCTGCAAATGATGAAGGCTGTGGCATCGGGCATGGCAGGATGGAACGACAAACTCTCTATAGTACAACCACACTATAGGCGTCGTGGTCGTGCAAACTTCAAAGCGCGGATTTTGCCTGGCGAGAGCTGACCAGCACGAAGGTCCGAAAGAGGGCTGTGCCAAAAAGAGGTACCTAAGTGAAGCGTGCTGGACCTGACAATGCACGCATTTTGCAAAGCCGCCCCCAGCCCAGTGTCTTAAAACGTGCGCACGAACAGCGATCTTGGTGAACGTGAAAGAACCAACACGTCAGATTGTCAATCGCATCATCTGACAGGGGACGAACGAAGGTCCCATATTTTTCCACTTGCGACGAAGACTGCCAAAGCATCTGGGCCTTCTTCGGATCCCGAGAAGGGCGGCACAAGCCTCCCTCGAAAGACCTTCGTCGGTAGGATACTATGCAGCTTTCCGACCCTCACAATCACCATGAACAATTCCTAGCTGTTGTCGTCCGCTGCCCCTACTCCGGGATAGTCAGGCATTCCCTTATTCCCATTCTTCAGCGGAGGAGGGAGACAAAAAACAGAGTCGCCGGACCTGAGAACGACATGATCGCAACAACCCGAGCACTCCAGGCTTACAGACAATCGAAGCAAGACTCGATGGATTTGGGGGTCTAAGATTTCGGGTGCAGGGACCCCCTTAACCAAATGTGCAACAGCACCCCACCAGGCTGGAAAGACAAACCTTCGCAGTGCCACCCTCCAAGAAACATTGCTTGGATGCCTTGTAAAGCCTCTCACAACCGTTTCTGGCACAGGCATCTAAAGCCCCACCCCATCGACAAAACTACTTCTTGGCCCTGGGCCAAACCCTTGAACCAGAACAAAAACGGCGGACGAAGGCATCGGCCACACCACCTTATGGATCAAGGTAATGAAGTGGCCTCAATAATAATAATAATAATAATAATAATAATATAACAATAATTACTATTATTATAATACTAATACAGCTTCGGGGGATTATCTTGCTGGAGTTATAACAAACACGGAACTTTGCAGCCTGCCACTACCCGCCTAGGAAACCCCTACAGTAGTATTATAGTATCACAGTGTGCCGGCAAACGAGGGCCCATATTCGACCAAGATTGCACGGCCAATCTTGCACCACACATCCCCAAATCCCCAAAACACCAAACTCTAGATTGCCCATGTACATGGGTTGTGTTATATATATATATGTATACATGTATATCCGTGTTTTTGCTACATATATATATATATAGATAGAGATATAGATATAGAAAGAGACAGGGCGCACATATTATGCACCACAATACTAGGACAGTAAGCTGGCAATTTCGCTTCGACTGAAATCAACCACTCTTAATCCGGACACACTGCCCTCGGCGACATGATGCCGAACAACCAGCAACCCAAACTTTCGACAAAGCTACAAGCATCCGAAAATCCGAAAGCCCACCGGAACCGCTGCTTTCAAGCTTTGCGGTTTGGGGGAGTCGCCTCCAGCGTCTCAGACAACCGCAGTGTTGACTGGAGCTGGCCGGGCAGCAAGGGTGCCTCGAGAGAGAAGCCATCAAGAACATGAGCTTTGTGGCAAAATACACCTCCTCGTCGAAACGACGGAGAAGAAAACACAAAGCAATGAATCACAGTTGCTGTGTCATGTTCAGGGTGGTGGCGGCAGTGGTGGGGGTGGCGGTGGTGGCAGTGGTGGCGGTGGTGGGCGTGGTGGCAGTGATGGGTGCCCGTGGCGGTGTTGGTCGTGGGGTGACAACGGTGGCGGTGCGGTGCCTGGTCTGGTGGTATGGGGCACCATGGGCCATGGGGTTGTTGATCTATGTCCGATATCCGACGGCGATGCCCAACACGGCAGCACAGAAGACACTGGCAAGAGCTATGTGAGCCACGAACCTTCAAACCCAAATCTAAAACCCTACATCCATAAGCCCGAAGCGAAACCCGAATCCCGACATCTAACCTCAACTTGTAAGCTTTAGCCCGCCAGTCCACGAAACCTTCACACTGAACTCGAAATTGAAGTCTACACCACGAACCCAAAGTATTCACTCCGATATTACCAACACCCAAGAAGCCAAACCTGAAGACCACACACCAAGCAGGGCTACATAGAAGATCTTGAGCCTGGACATGTTCATTGCAGTTATTAGGGCTTTCTAGTTATGAAAACACTATAAATGAGCCATGAACCGAAAGCCCTACTCCATAAACCCTACACTACCACATCCAAAACTCCATCCGCCAAACCCAAGCACCCTGAACCCCTTCAACACTAAAACCCTGCAGAAAAAAAAACAAGGCCTAATCCCTGCAAAAGCCACCATACCTAGCTGAGTTGTCCTTTAAGCCCTTTGAAAAGTATTTACTATTATGGTTCTCTACAAAATAGTAGTGGAAATCAAAAGAGATCCCAAGGGACAACCCAGCTAGGAACCCTAAGGCTCCTCAAACCTGTGAGGCACAAAAAGATTCCTAACCTAAAACCCACCAAAAATGCGACAAAACCTAGAAGCCCGCCTCGAACTCCGATGCCCTGCGAGACGATGCATCTGTAGGAAAATCGGAAAGCCTTGCATGGGCGGAGCTCTTCTGCTTAAACTTACGGATATACGCTTTGGGGTTGAGGGTTTTCTTCTAAAGGTTTTGGATGGGCTTCTGGTTGTATACGTTTAGGCTTCTATGGGTCAGGGTTGAACATGGAAGCTCTCAAATTGCGAAAACCCGTGCTCGTAAACCATAAACTCCCTCAAAAAATTACACCCTAAGATACCCTGCAACACCCAAACCCGAAACTCTTGACCCCTAAATCCGTACGCATTTTTTGAAACCGGACTTGATGACTGCCAGCACTTCCTCCTCTGCCGTACGCATGAAGCCACAACTCCCGACCCTCAAGCACACTCGCGCCTGGGAGGCTGCTGGCCAACCGGCGGCGTTCGTGGACGCGACTGGAGGCAGATTGCTACTATATGGGAGCTTCCGGAAACAGGGGAACCTAATATAGTACCCTAAATAGTAGGATCCTTATTATACGGACCCCCAAAATAAGGTACCTGTAACAGTACCCCTGTTTTCGGAAACTCCCATATGGACTCTAGATGCCTTAAAAAGTACAAACATGCTCCTTTAAGGGTAATACGACACGACTCACCAGGGGCCATCTCTAAGTCCCCAAGAGACGGCATCACTCCGGAAACACGGGCCCAACGCTAAACCCTAACCCCTAATTGAGTAGGGGTTTAAGCGTTTAGGGTTTAGGGGTTTAGGGTTTAAGCGTTTAGGGTTTAGGGGTTTAGGGTTTAAGCGTTTAGGGTTTAGGGCTTAGGGTTTAAGCTTGATTTGTAGGTTATTTGATGGCTCACATCTCAAAAACGAAGTCTAAGGTTTGATGCACAAGCAAGAGCCCAAAGAGTTCAATATCGCCCGGGCTCGGGTTTCTGGTTTGATACAGGGCGGGGTATCTTGTAGAACACTTGTGGAACTAGAGATACTTATAAATGCTACTCGAAAAGAATGAGCCTCAGCCTTTATGAGACTATGCGCCTCTGAATCCCTAAACTGCAAGCCCTAATCCCGAAAACCTGAAATGAACCTGACTGTTCATGTTCCTTGGGAGCGAAGGGACCTTGCTTTCTAATTCTCCCCGGCCAAAACCCTGCCTCAATACTGCGGTAATCAGGCCCGACACAGCATTAACAACAATAGCCTTCTGAGAGGCACACAAGTCTTCAACAGCAACCTCGAGATGCCGCTGTAGCCCAGACAAGACACATCAAGGGATGAGAGCAGGAGGTGATTTGGTGGTTCTTCATTACAGTGATATTATTGTTGGCCCCAAAACCTTATTCTAATTGTCAAGGCCCACAAATGGGGATTGGGAGTGCCAGGGAGAGCTTTCTTAGGGTTCTTTGCCCACCCTGACCACGAAACCCGCCCAGGCATCCTGCGCGTAGGCCAACAACGTCTGTGCCGCCAAATTCTTGCTGAGCCTCAAGGACACAAGCGTCCGGCGATGGACAAATGAAACTGCTGCATGGAGACGCTTAAGTGGTGAACCACACCATACTCAACGATTCAGCAGATCCTCGAGCTTCCTTTCTTACCCGACAGCCTCAACCTGAGCCTCAACTTAGGGCTTCGGGCTTGGGGACAGCAAAGAAATTTTCGAGCATCGCCACATGATCGTCAGCACGAGCATCAACCACCGCCGCAGTCAACGAAAGACTCGCCAAGATGATCACCACCATGACAGTCATCACCTTCAGGTTTCTGCCAGCTAGTTCAACAACGAAAACAAACACTAATAATTCAGCAATCCTGGCTACAGATGTAGCATGAGGCACAGGACCCAATACCGAGGCTCACCCAAACTTCGCCATAAGCTTGAACGATCAATGTCCCTCAGTATGGAGTATGCCAAGCTCCCCATTACATATTCAGCGAAAACTACTTACAACCATGCACACACACCCTAAACCCTAAACTATTCCTTCATGAGGGGTTCTTGGCCCTTCCGGGAATATTTTCAAACCGGAAGTTGTGCTTGGGATCCGGGGCCTCATCAGTGGGACATACGGTTGATGATGTAAATCCTGCATTACCCATCATAAGAAATATACCATAATTCCCATAGTTCAGGGTCCTTAAGGTAATGCAGGATTTATATCACCAACGGTACTTCGGCATGGCTGTAGTAGACGGCTCAGGGTTTAGGGTTGAGAATTTGGGGCTGTGCATGGCTATACGGCTATACATGCCCTAACAGGAATTCCCTTGTGTACACCCGTACTAGGAACTACTTTCTGTTTCAAGTCCCATTTTCACGGACTCAGGATTGACGTACATGGAGGCGGCTGGAAAAGTTGATGGTTAGGCCGCCAGGCCAGGTCTAGGGGGTGAGGCAGGGTTGAAGTTTGCTGATGCGATTCGTAGTTGCAATCGTTCGCTGTCCGCTGTTGTTTTCGCAGTGGAAGCAACACGTTTGGTAGGGGAGTCTGACTAATGTTGCTCTTATGGCCTTCTGGGTAAACACTCAGGTTACGACGGCCCAGGTACGGTCCGCTCTATTAGGGTTGATAATGGCCTCCAGTTAACTCGTGTCACAACTCTAAACCCTCTGAGGGATCCTACTACAATTTAAGGTATGTGCAAGGGATATTGGGGTATTTGTGTTCCGAAGGGACCAACGCATGCAAACGATTTTGCTGCTTCCTCGCTGAGCGTCGGTGCGATTTTCCTGTGGAAAATGCCCTATAAGAGCAGTCTTCCGAAGGTGTTGCCCTAGGCCCTTAAATGTGTTACTTGTTTTTGGTTGGCCTAAGTGTCTACTTTGAGATCCTAACCCTAAAGTAGGCCATCCAGCAAAAGGTACTGCATGCAAGTGTCTAGGTTGACCCGGAAGTCTCGTTTCGAGGCTTTCTTGTGGAGTGGAGTTCACGTGGCAAGCCAGAGGCTCTTGGGGCTGTTAGGGTTAGAGCTTGAGACCTTACACTTCGACGTCCCAGTTTCTTCAAGCTTGAAGCCTCTGAAGGCCTCATTAATTAACCCGAAACGCGTAAGCTTTGGACTATAGTCGACCCCCAAATCACTGAGATTCAATCCCAAGGTCGGTAGAGAAGGTACTCCAACATACCCGGAAACACAACGGTTCCATTCAACAAACATGTAAGAATGCAACCATTAAAAATCGGAGGGAAGGAGGCTGGTGCAGCGACCCCTCCCGTCCTTAGACAAGCTTTGTACGGCACACACACACATAAAAAAAAGGACCCCCGAATGGATCCCAATTTGAAGAACTAGCCACAGGGACTGAGGATTCGGCGAGAGCTCGTGCCAGGCGGGGTGTGGTTCCAGGTTTTGGGAGTGAAAAGACTTGGGGTCCCGGGGTTAGGATTCATTCTTACTTTTTTTCTTCAAGTTTTGCTGTGTTGTTGCTACGTTCCGCCTAGTTAGGACCATGCCCACATCTTAAAGCTGAACAGGGACCCTAACATACGGGCACTGCTCCTTTCTGGCCTGCAGTTTGGTAGGGGGCGTCGTACTTTCGTTTGCGACATTGAATCAATGGGTTTAAGGGCTCATGCGTAAGGGTCTGCTTCGGGTTTCGGCCGTCATAGGAGATGGGATCCTCTGCTTCGGAAGAGCTACAAGCTTTGTCAAAGTAAGGGTACTGCAGCCACACGGCAAAGCTAAAGGAACGAATCGGCTTGCGCGACCGGCAACGAGCCACATTCGTGGTTCGCCCTGCTCTTGGATAGTTACAAGTGCGTGTTCATGGAAGGAAGGCCTTTGAAATCCTGGGTCATGATCCGTTTTGGCGTTCCGGGTGCTATGAGGGTTCTATCTGTATGGGTAGTCCTGAAAATTAGGATCCCTTTTGTGGTGCTATGCACAACACCTGCAGCTGTCCAGAGGCTTGCCAGATCGGTTGGCATGCAGCTGACCAGTTGATTCATGAGATCCAATCTACGGCTTTAGAAAATCGACCCGTGTTCGCAGAACCGAAACTCGCTCCCAATGCGAAGGTCTGAATCAGCAAGCCTACCCGGTTCACGAACTCTCCGATGTTATTAGTGCGCGAGCTCCAATGCCCCAACGAGATTAGGCGTTTTGACCTGGTGTTTAAGCCCCACTGCTTTAGACTCCACAACCTTACATCTGTACAATTTGCAAACCTCTGGTATCGTCTGCACTCTCGCAACTCGGACAAGCCAGACGAGGTCTCTCGTATCGTTTATGGTTTGCGGTTTTAGGGCTCGGCTACCTGCATAGGTGATAGGGGTTGCTAAGCTGCAGATATATCTACAGCGAGAACTCTATCCAGTAGTCTGACTTGAGCCTAAACCCTAAACCCTATAGACTCGTGATGTAAGTCCCTGAACCCTGAAGCTTAAGCGCTACAGGGGCCTGAAGATGTAGATTCGGGGGTATCAGCGGGGTTGTTCGCCAATAAATCTTCCAAAGCCGTGTGCAATTTCTGTAGAATTCTGTAGAACCCTTGACTAATATGACAACGCCAACTCAACATGCAACCCTGGAAAGACCTTACAAGCCTGCAAACTCTGTAAATCGATGACAACACCCTCAAGCCCCTAGAGTCTTGAAGTATGCGAAACGTACTATCTCCTAAATCAGGTCCCTGGATCCAAAACCATCAGCTGTCGGTTTCGGTTCCGGCGAAGTTCATTGGACGGTGTCTGCTCGGCAGCACGGGGCTGCCAAGTCTGAGCATCCGCAGCACGGAAGCCTGGCCGAAAGGGTTCTTTTAGCGGGGGCCCTACAAGGACTTTCCCAACCACTTTCTGTACGGGTTCCTTTAATTGAACGGGTTGCTATAGTGGTTTCTAGGTTTGGAGGTGAGCGTTTTGACGCCAACTAGATGCTTTCTCCTAGATGTCCAGAAATAAGGATCCTATGATGTGGGGGTCTATAACAGGTTGTAGGATCCCACTAGATGTAGGGCTCATGCTAGAATCACAGTGAGAATGTGTGGGAACTTAGCCTGAAATAAATATTGGCGCGTCGCAGTGGGTCTATGTTTTGGGCCTTTGGGATACTATTGATAAACAACCTACTTCCAATGGTGTGGGATTCAGGGCTTCAGCAACGATGCCTGCGGAACCAAACCGGAATCAGGTGTGGGTAACCTGCAGACGACCGGTTTAGCGCTATAGCTTCTCTTTGTATGGCTCATACATGCTAGAAGAAGGTAGGTCTTTGTAGGGTCCAAGTGCTGTTGGTTGAATCCTGGCTTCGGGCTTGGCACGTCAACCCCGCCTCCCGCCTTGGCCAATGGAAACCAACATGCTTACCACTAGCAGTTTAACGTCACATCGAAGGTATTGAATTACACCAGATCTCGTACTCCGGAATCCATGAACCTGAGGGCATGAAGCAAGTTTCTGGCTCGAGCAGCTCTCAATTCCTTCAACCGTAAACCTTTCTTTAGATCTTCAGAGTTTGGTGTAGAGTGACAGACAGAGTTTGTTTAGAGTGGCTGACAGAAAGCATCTTTGTGGCGAAGCCCCTCCAAAGTTCCAAACTCGAAGTCCCAACTCCTGCACGCCGCCTCTGCATTGCTGAAACAGACTCCACAACGATCCCGACATGAACTCTTGGCAGGAGATACTATACGGGCGTTTATAGTTAGATTAGGGACCCTTTTAATGCGGGTCTGCATAAGGGTTACCACCACTGGTCTATAAGGGATCCGTATTATTGGGGCCTTAATGATTAGAATAGGGTTTCAGGGCCCGTCATACTGTAATTATAATAAGGAACCCCCGAAATAGTATAGGTCATTATTTAGGGCCCGTAAAGTACCTGGCTCATGTGTCTGTTGGAATAATTTTTTTGCACCGGACCAAAATACATACTCTGAGTCGCACGGACACCAGAAGAGCCGCCTCACTAATGCTATTGATCATGATCCATTGCAGAATACTCTAGACTCTAGAGAATCTCAATACGGGTTTTAAAGGCTACTGACCGAAAGAAGTTAAGTTGACCAGACAGGTACATAGGGCCTCTGGCTTTTCACACCAAGGAGGTGAACATGAGGTTGAACTCGGACTCCTCAGCAGCCAGGATTCGTCTACTTACTTCCCAAGACAAGCATGGGAAAGGAGCTAAGCTGCCAGGAGAAAACTCAGCTATGAGAGCCAAAAGTGCAAACCTAGCACATGGCATGTTTTCCGAGTTTTGGTTTGAGAGAACTGCAAGCTTGCAAACCTGAAGCAAGCTTACACATGGTAACATAGCGGTCTAGATGGTTAGAGGATGTTCCCTGAGGATCAATGTACCCAACTAGTAGATACATTGGCCTTAGAGTAATCCCTATACAAGCATCTTGGAGCCAATGTATGTACTATGTGAGTACATGGAGAGGAGAACGCATTGGGATGTATGATTCCGTCCGCTATAGTCCGGCCGTGAGCAAGCCTCGCCGAATGATTCGGGGCTTTTTTACCCTTAGGTCCCCTTAGGTTTG